CCGCACCGTTTTTTTCAGAAGGTCTATAAAGAAATCTCGATAGTATTAAAATCCCGACATTCAAAATCTCGACAATATCAATTTTTTTTGATTATTTCTTTGTAAGGTTTATTATGAATAAGTCTATATCAAATAAAAAAAAATACTGTCGAGATTTTGTTACTGTCGGGATTTCTATCCGCACCGTTTTTTTTTTCAGATATTTGAGACGCTTCGTTTGCTTTAGAGTTTCGTGCTCTATTAAGTGGAGAATTTGGAAATTTTCAAATAAAATAACTTTACGGTTTCGTCGGTGTCTGTACGTGTATGTGTGGAACGAACGGTTCTTGTATATAAAGTTGATGGATATGCCGATGTGTATTTGGTATTTGGTCGTTCGAGTTTCACCGTGCAGAAGAATGCTGTTGTCTGCGTTCACTCGCATGTCTTTTGGAACGAGTTTTCCTTCCATCGCCGTCGAACGCGTTATATTGATTTATTGATCAGAACCTCCGCAATTACCTCTCCAGTACAATCTATCCAAATAGATTTAGATGCTAGGATTTATTACGAGCTCATTTACTATAGCATACACGCGTTTATAAATTGAAGAGCGGAGAAGATCCATCTTCAAGATGTTACAAAAAAAAATTATATATATAAAACGAAGCAGGTATCTATCTCGTATCGTATCGTCTGTTTGAACTAGCTATCGTCTTCAAATACTGTTAAGGGTTCCCTTTATATTTTTTCTATCCCTACATTCGACGTTTTTATCAATACGGATGAGATAAATCAAAGGAATTTATACGACCGTTAAGTGTCAAGATAAAGAAAGGAGATGCACCAAAATTGGAAAAATGTAAATTCTTTTACGTGTGTATATGAATTTTGTTTATGTAGTGGAAAGTTGAGCAATGCGCGGTGAATAAATAAATTGGAAACGAAGCGGCCGTGCTTGGAATGGAATGTAAACAAGAGTCGATGATGTCGAAGGGACGACGAATCCGATTCCTAAAATAATCCAGAAGTCATCAGTCGTTTGGCATTTAATAAAACTGGATGAACGGTGTCAAGGCCGGACACTGTCCGCGTTTACTCTTTGTAGTTGTCCTCTTCTCGCAAAAACTGCTGGTTATTTAAGATAATCGCTGTTAATCCATCAGGTTCTTCAGCCTGGATCCAGACTCGTGATTAATTATCCGTAGCGCAAGATTAATTCTTCCATTGCTTTCCTTACTTCTTTTTCACATGAGCGATCTCATTTTTTGTCTAATGGGTATTAAATTATTTCCTCATTTCTGAAACACACTCACTTCGCCGCACGATCCGAATCTGCAATTACTTCCAGAGCAAATAAAGATCATCCTACTCCCCGTTGCACATTCTGTTTTTTTTTTGCTTATTTATATATACATATATATATACTCGTTCGAAATTAATGACTTGGCCGTGACTCTTCCATTAATATTTCCTTATATTTTATACATTCCACAATAAATCTCTGCGAAAATATTAAATGAGTAACATTACATGTTTAGTTTCAGTAATCTTGCATCTCTTATCCAATGCATCCACACACTACTATTCGTGACATGAGACGTATATTTCTGTACGTACCAACAAATACAACACCACGCAATCTAGGGTTTTCATTTGCAGTCAGTAGTTATTGGTAGTAATAGGTTACCATGGAGTTCAATGACAGTTATACTGATTTGGTAACTACCAACTAGTAATCATGCAATTCAATGCTTTACAACTCGCAGTTAATTGGTAATGATGGGTTACCGTGGACTTCAATGACAGTTATATTGAATTGGTAACTATCAATAGCAGATCACGCAATCTAATCTTCGCAGTTGGTATTAATTAGAAGTAATTAGTTACTATATCAATCACATTTATACTGATTACGTCACGCCAAAGTACCCGTAATCTAGTGTTTTAATTTGCAGTTGGTAGTTAAAGATAGTACTGGCTTACCAGAGTTCAATGACTGATTTGGTAACTACTAAATAGTAATCATGCAATCTAATGCTTTTCAACTCGCAGTTAATTGGTTAGCATGGAGTTCCTAAATTTTCGCGAAATTTGTCCCGGGAATTTTCGAGTCCATGGAGTTCAATGATAGCTATACTAATTTGGTAACTGCCAACATACAACGTAATCTAGTGTTTTAATTTGCAATCAGTAGTTAATGGTAGTAATGGGTTACCATGGAGTTATATTACGCAATCTAGTACTTTGTAGTTGGTAATATTTGGCAGTAA